GGAAAGAGCACAAAGGGGCATGATGCCTCCTGGTCCCTGAAGGCTGGAAATGGATGCTTAGCTTGGTACTTAGGGAGTCTGGAATAGAGTAGGCAGCTGCTCAGTCCTGTGTCAGCCCTGTGTCTGTGGGACAGAGGGGACAGCCTGGACAGGCTGAGCAGACTCTTCTCCTGACTGTTTCTGGGGCAGCAGCTGGCCAGAAGAGGTCCTGCAGGGCCTTGTGAAGTATCTGACCAGCCCTACCAGGTTGCACTTGCCCTCAAGCTCACAGGTCTGTTGGACCCCTTGGCTTTGTCAGTGCGCTGAACCAGGCTCCACATATTTCCCTGCTGTGCATGTCTGCTTTACCGATATGGCCAGGTCATGCAACCCATGGCACCATCTCACATATTCCTTGAGCTTTACTGAGGGGAGAGGATAAAGCTTGCAGGGACTCAGTCCCTTCTCCTGCACACCCCAGGGACTTGCATCTTCATCAGCCCTCCTGTTTTACTTTGAGTCAAAGAAGTTCAGGGGGTTCTCTCATTCCCCAGTGACTCTCACCAGTTCACCTGCCGCTGCTGAGTTTGGGGCTCTGATGCAGATGATCTACACTGGGCTTCCCCTAGAGATTAACTGCTCTGGACATCTTTCTGAATTGATTTTCATCATAACTCTTCTCACTGAGAGAGGAGATAATGGATACATTTGCAGCTTCTCTCCCACTGCCCTGCTCTCCCATCTCCCAAGCAGCCAATGCCCATAGAAAGCGTGTACTTTTTTGAATCTGTCCCGCTGGGGGAGATATAGACTGAGGATTGTGCCAGCCTGTAGCCCTTGAGGCCCTGTACTCTCTTCAAGCGCTACAGAGAAATGCAGAAAGCAAGTTATTCTGCTCTCCAGGAATGAATATTTTTGGTTGGAGATAGTGGGTTCTGAAACCAGAAACTGAGGCAAGTGCAGCATGATCACATCCCTGACCAGAGGCATGGGCATGACTGCCTGTGCAATGGTGTTCTCTTATCTCCTTTCAGGCTTTAGCATGCCTCATCACACTGCTGCGCTAACCTCATCAAGAAGCCTGGCTTCTGCCCGGGGGAAGCTCTGTAAGGCTAGCTCTGCCTTGGAGTTGGCCTAGCAGGAAGAGGACATGATGCCCGTTATCGCCATCATGGCATTTAGCATGACGGCATCACTCATGGCAAGGGGTGGTGAGACGGCTGTCTCTGCTGTGCCCTCCAGTCTCCCCTTCTAGGCTTGCCTGCCACTGCCCATCTCTGCTGAGCTCTGGCTATACCTCCCTTGCCCTGGCACCTGGCAGCTCCCAGTCCACCTTCAGCAACCTGCAAGTAGTATCATAGTAGAAAACTGCTGAACTTCAGGGTCAATCCATGAGCTGTTACTGTATTCATCCAGTCTGCCTTAGCTGTCCCTTTGCAGCGCAGACTACTACCTGTTACTTGCAGGCCAGCTGATGGAGTTGGGAGCAGTCAGATAACCTTCTCCATGGCTTTGCAAAACCATCATGGACATAAGCTGGATATCTGGTACTATTCCCCGACATGGCTATGACAATTAGCTGTGCTAAAGCAAGGCTACCTTTCAGTGCACTGTTGATTGTACTGTAGTAATCAGAGATGGGGACACACTGTTCTAGGGGCCGGGCTCAGTTCCATCATCCATCAGTGCCCAGTGTTACATTCTCCATGTCCATTCTGCATTGCCCAGTCTAGCTTGTAACATGGTCTCTG